TTTTTCTAAATTTTGTTCAAACTTAGCTACGAAAATAATATTGATGACTGCTTGTTAAATTCAATTTGTCAAAAAAGAGTAGTTTTCTGTTAATATTTCAATAGAAAATACACCAAGTTTTTCTTACAGAATTTTTTAATAAATGAAATTCAGCTAAATGAGAACTTCTTTGTGTTTTTGAGTTCTGTTCAAGTTCTAGAATATAAGCATACTTCCAGAAGAAAATTTTGCAGGTAAGTCAAATTATTGTTAAAGTGAATTTAAATAGGTTAATAGAAAGAATTGAATTGTAACAATTTTAATTATCGGAGTTTATGTTTTGATTAGTTACTGTGTAAGAAAATTTTCTTATGCAATCGTGAAACAGATATTTCAATTTAAATACATAATTTAAAATAGTTTTCAATTATTATCGTTAAAAAATCATTGACATCTTTAATTGATTTTTAGACTCTTACTTTAAACTTTTTTGATTAAAATGGTCTTAGATAATTAGGCAATTTATTCTATTTTAGATTTTATATCACTTTATAAGGATTATGTATTTTAAATCAGGGTATTTCGCAGAATCGATTTTTAAATTTCTTACAGAATAAACAAATTTTGTTGAAATGAATTTTGAACAATATATAAAACAATATATATTAATTTTATCATCAATTTTAATTTTGTGTATAAATATGTCTAAGCTTATACTTTTAGCTCTAATAAATGAGATTATGGTCATTCATTAAGCAGAAAACAAATTTCAAACTAACTTGGCATTAAAATTTAATGATTTTCCAAGTGTAAAACATTTTAGCTGAAAAGGATATTAATATACTTTTTAAGTGGATTATATCGCTAAATATAATATTTTCTTGCTGATGGAGTGTAGAAATGTTTTAAAGTTCTCCAAAAAAATTACTGATCGAGATCATGAATTTCAGTTTTTTATTAAGCGGTGAAGATTTATTTCATTTTTAATTATACGTAAGCAAATAGACAATTACATTTTTATCATATTTTTTTCTCAAATTTTTTTTGTACACACAAGCTCCGTAATAAAGTGTCATTGTGGACAGGTAATATAAATGATTATTTAATCTATTTTTACACTTAAAAAGTATACTAAATCAAAATGGAACTTATTCTATCTTAAAATTATCTTGAATATATTATCTTAACAATGTTTATTTAAACTAATGTTTTTCTAAATTTACCAGTGTACTAGAATGAATCGATTATAAAAAATAAAATGTGAAAAAAAATTTAAATAAATAAAAAGCTTTACAATATAATTCTAATTTAGTAAATAATTCCATCGTTGTTACTAAATCTTAATTTGAGTTTTGTCTTAAAAAATTTAATAGTGGTAATAAAAATGAGACAAATTTCATAAACTCTGATAACCACTACATATTATTTTGCAAAGAATATCTGCATGAGAACTATCCCCTGCTGGATCTCTAAAAAAATGATATTTTTAAAAATTTATTTCCTGAATGCAAGGACATAAATTTACTACATCATTTAAGGTTTTCTAAGATCCACCTCTTACAAAAAAATAAAATGTTTTTGATGTTGTGAGGAGGATAGATGAAAAAAACTGCAATTAAGGTTGAAATTGAGGTTATGTTTTGCACCAAAAATAACATCAATTTCAACCTTATTTGCACCTTACAAAATCAACCTCATTTATAACTTAAAAATAATTTTAGCTTTGATCGGGTGAAATTATTCACACCTCAAATATATGTATTTGCTTGAAGTGTTGAAAAAATAAAACGTATACCTCAAAAGCAACCTCCCTAAGCTAGTTGCTCTAAAGTAGATTTCCATCAACCTCAAAACAACCTCAAGTGTGAATAAAACAACTTCATACACTTTGATTATTCACCTTGGGAGGTTGATCTTTTATGGTTGTTTTTGAAATCAACTTCGAATAAACCTCAAATCAACCTAGACACCTCAAAATAACTCTCAAAATATCTTAAACTTTTGTAAGGGCACGTGAACGCACTAGCCCTTTGAAATCATTTGTTTGCTCAAGCTTATAGGCAGTTAACTAGTATAAGGCAACTAAATCAAATCTGAGTAATTAAATGTGATTTCTAAAAAATGTCATTATTTTTCTTACTAAATGGAATAAAAAATGTGCAGAAAGAAATATAAGATATACTAAGAAATATCCACTTGGTATACCAGAGATGCCAGAGTCTGGGAAAATTAAAAATAATCTTGACAAATGTTTAATGAGGCACTGCAAAGCTTCAAAAGTTTAGATTTCAGTTTAATTTCAATTATTCTGTTTGTTTATTATAACAAAACGAGACTCTGGCTACCTCTTTATATACAAATACGTATTCCCAATTTTATCGCTTAAGTGTTTTTCATATTTCGATCAACTTTTGTGACCGGGCATAAATGCCGGCTTTGGTGAAAGATTTTCTGAAATACTTAAGGTAATAGCAGAGATGCCAACTTGCTCCGGACAGCAAATATATATTTTAAAGTGGTAGTTTGTCAATTGTGATCCTTGGTTTAATAAATTCAATTTAGTAGATTTTTATCCACCACTATTTCTAAATAGTTCGTAGGCTTATATAATTCACCACCTTACAGTCCTTATGCAGAGATGCCAACTTGCTCCGGACAGCAAATATATATTTTAAAGTGGTAGTTTATCAATTGTGATTCTTGGTTTAATAAATGCAATTTAGTAGATTTTAATCCACCACTATTTCTAAATAAATCGTATGCTTATATTATTCTCCACTTTATGGTATTTAAGTCATGCTGTACCTTTTAAAAAGCAAGTAAAAATAGTCAAATATTTGCAAACTTTACTTTTGTATTTATTTACCGTTTTTTTTAATTATTTTGGCGTGTCCGGAGCAGTTGGCTTCTCTGTTTATGTCATGCTATATCTTTTAAAAAGGAAGCCAAAATAGCCAAATATTTGCAAATTTACTTTGTAGTTATTTACCGTTTTTTTTAACTAATTTGGCGTGTCCGGAGCAGTTGGCATCTCTGTATTAGTAACATTTTAAAATTTAGAGTTTCATTTTTTGTTTAATAAATTTGAGCTTAAAAGATTTTGAATACCTAGATTGAATAAATAATTCAAATTGTACAACTGCGCCCATGAATCCTAAATAAATGCTAATTAAATCTTGTCTATTCAGCCAACCAGCCTGTGTAGGGGTTAGGGAACTGCCCTTGCATCAGAAAGGTTCTGGGTTTGAATCCCGGGCAAGTCATAGATATTCTTTCCTTCTCTGTACTATCTGTCCTTACTGTGGGAGCAACGTTGGCCCACCTAATATGGTGCCCCCTGAAAAGTGGCCAACAAATCAGCCCTTCAGACGCCTGTATTATCTAGGTCATTCTCTATGTGGGCATTGGAAAAAAATATTTTTCGTTTAGTAAATTTGTTCTAAAAATTATTTTTTACACCACATCTGAATGATTCATTAGTTCATATATAAAGACACTTTGTTCCAACTCTCTTGCATCCTCTTTGGCCGAGCAGTATCGCACACCAAACGCAATGTGAAGCGTGGAGGTGGGTTCGCACCTCGGCGCAACCCTGGATGTATTCTCTGTGATGTCCTACATTGAAACCTTCCTTTTGTCCTTCTACTAGACAAACTATGTAGTCAAATTATGTATTTCTAATAATCTTGGCTTCGCCGATTACCGGTAACCGCCGGAGTGCTAAGAACAAACTCAGTGCCGGTCACCGGTGACCCCCATGGCGTTCAACGTGTTAATTCTTTATTAAACTTTTTATTGGTGTCCGAAAATGATATTTCTTCTTTTTACATCTTTTTTACAAAGGCCTTTTTAGAGAAAACTGCATTCGCTAAAAATGACATAGTCTTATTTCATTTATGTACCAGGCATGCAAACTACTCCACTTCGTTCAAAAAATTTTATAAATTTATCTTTTAAAAGCTGAAATTATCAGAACGTTGGTTGATTTTCACGAAAAAGCTCATGAAAAGATGGGATGATTGATTATTGATTGATTGATTGATATTTGTGGAATCTCGGCGTTAAGTGCGAAGCGCTTCAAACCGATTCTTCTATACTGTTTTGGCATTTGGACTAGAGGTCATATGCAGTTCAAAGTTCTAAGTTAGGATCAGATAATAAGTCCATGATGAGGTAAGGCATGAGTTGATTCAGTAGTACATCAGTTGGATGGGGAATTCCCTTGGATTAAAGTTCTGAGAAGATGCAGCATGTCTTGGTCCTTCAGCAAATTTTTAAGTTCACTGATGAGGCTAACAAGTCTGTGGGCTGTAGAAGTAGGCGAGGCCTTGATCGTGTTCCTCTTTCGACTGGGGCGGGCCTCGCACCCAGTGAAATTTGAGGTGTGGTTTTGCATGCAGTTGCAGCATTTAGCTGAGGAGTCTCGGCTCTTTCTGCACTGGAATGAATAGTGCCTAGATGGGATGAACAAATCGGTGTTATATACAAATTTCTGAATTAATTATTCGTAGTGGTGAGCATTATAATCTTAAATCAAATTTGCTTAAGTTAGAATTACATGTTTTGTTACCACTATAAAAAATTTCCCTCATGGGAAAGAAAGATGGCATCTCGGAACTAAGTGATATTTTGCGTGGTTCTCCGGCAAATAAAAATATTTATTTGAAAAAGTAGGTCAGAATATAGAATAAAAAACTTATTTTCATTTCTTTCATTACTTGATTTTCTTAATAAAAAAAGATTAGTCGCAAATAATATGCGTTCTAACAACATTATTACGATCTAATTTTTACAAATTCCATGCCAGATAGTTTGATTCCGGAAACACCTGAAAATTGATGCGCGTGTTAATGATTATTTCTCTCTGTCATTGTCAAGACAAAGATAAAAATTTAACTATAAAGTAATCTCTAAAAAGAGGCGAAATTGTTTGATCGTGAGTTATTTGTAAGATTAGTATTATCAAAAATGACACCCTCAAAACTGCGAAAACGTGACTCAATAAGAGATAAAAATTTATTTAAATAAGCCATTGTAAGGGGATCATTTGCGACTATTAGCATTTCCACGTTGTCTGTCTCTTTACTAAGGATTTGCCTCTTTCAAAGTCAATTTTCACCATGGGCAAAGTAACTGTTGGTTATTGGGATATTCGTGGCCTTGCAGAACCTATCAGGTATTTGTTACATTTCAAAAATGTTCTATTTGAAGATAAGAGATACCAGTTTGGTGATAGCACTTGGGAAAAGGAAATGTTTACCTTAGGCTTGGATTTTCCAAATTTGCCTTATTATATTGATGATAAAGTAAAGTTAACTCAGTGCACCACTATTTTGAGATACTTGGCAGAAAAGTATGGCATGGATGGCAAAACGGAAGAAGACAAATTGCGAGTTTCTTTATCTGAGCAGCAAATCATCGACTTTCGTATGAAGTTTTTCGCGACCTTACTTACTGCGGATTTTGAGAAAACAAAGAAGGAATATTTGGAAAAAGTGCCTGATCAGTTGAAGCTTATTTCTGCATTCCTAGGAAATCGTAAATTTCTTGCTGGAGATTATTTAACTTACGTTGATTTCATGGCTTATGATACTTTCGACTTTAACGTCCTGCTTTCACAGAACATTTTAGACCATTTTCCTGCACTGAAAGCATATCATGAACGTATTAGGAACCTTCCTGAATTGGAAGACTATTTCAATTCAACAACCTACGTAAGATGGCCTATAGTTGCCCCATTTGCTGCTTGGGGTGGTAAAATTGAGGATGTTAAATCAGAACCTCTTGAAGATCAACCAACAAAATGTGATGGAGCTATTTAAGTATTCGAAAGAGGTCTGACTTAGTGCAACTTTCTAGAACTTTCTAAATTTTGCTCAATTGACTGTTTTAAAGGAAAAGAATTGTATCGTGGCTAAACTGCTATGGAATTTTTATGTAATTTAAAAATTTAGTTCATCAAATCTTCGGTTTTCTAAAAATGAACTTTGAAGGAACTATATCGAATCTAAATATGCGGTTTCTAAATATTATTCACCAGACTGAATCAAAATAAACTTTAACGCATCTTTGTGGGGCATATTCTTTCTAAACTTTGTTTAAACTTAACTACGAAAATAATATTGATGATTGCTTGTTAAATTCAATTTGTCAAAAAAGAGCAGTTTTTTGTTAATATTTCAATAGAAAATACACCAAGCTTTTCTTTCAGAATTTTTTAATAAATTATTAGCTAAATGAAAACTTCTTTGTATTTTTGAGTTCTGTTCAAGTTCTAGAATATAAGCATTCTTCCAGAAGAAGATTTTTCAGGTGAGTCAAATTATTTTTAGAGTGAATTTAAATAGGTTGTTAGAAAGAATTGAATTGTAAGAAATTTAATTATCAGAGTTTATTCTTTGATTAGTTAATGTGTAGGAAAATTTTTTTATGCAATCGTGAAACAGATATTTCAATTTAAATACATTATTTAAAGTATTTTTCAATTATTTTCCATAAAAAATCATTTGCATTTTTAATTCATTGGTAAACGCTTACTTTAAACTTTTTTGAATAAAATATTCCAGATAATTAAGTAATTTATTCTATTTTAGACTTTATATCACTTTATAACGATTATGTATTTTAAATCAGAGTATTTTGCAGAATCGATTTTTTAATTTTTTTTTCAAAATAAACAAATTTTGTCGAAATGAATTTCAAAACATGAAGCAATATATAAAAATCTTTTCAACAATTTTAATTTCACGTTTGCATATGTTTAAGCTTATACTCTTAGCTCCTATAAATGAGATTATGGTCATTCATTAAGCAGAAAACAAATTTCTAACTTAGCATTAAATTTTAATGGTTTTCCAAATGTAAAACATTTTAGCTGAAAAAGGATATTAATATATTTCAAAAGTGGATTATATCTTTAAATATAATATTTTCTTGTTGATATAGTATAGAAATGCTTTAAGTTTTGTCGAAAAAATTATTAATCGTGATTATGAATGAATTTTTTTATTAAGCGTAGAAGATTTATTTCATTTTTAATTATTCATAAGCGAATAGACATATACACTTTTATCATACCTTTTTTCCAAATTGTTTCCATGCACAGAAACTCTATATTAACACGTTCACGCCGGGGTGACCCACCGGTGGCCCACGCTAGATTATCTCATCGGGCGGCTCACCGGAGTAAAAACTGGTCCATAACTACCAATTGTTTTAAACTGATGCAATTTTTATATTGAATTGCTTCTTCGCCATGATAAATTTCCTTACAGTGAATTGTTATTGTTGAGAATAAATTAATTCCTCCCGAATATTATCTAATATTGAAATAGTTCTTCTACCAGTATTTTCTCTTTTCCGTCCCGCTTTCAGGCCTGAACACCCGGCGTGAAAGTGTTTAAGTAAGTGTCATTGTGGACAGATTAAACAATTGATTATTTTATCCATTGTTACATCTAAAATGCACTCTAAATGAAAATGGAACTTATTCCAGCCTAAAATTATCTCGAATAAATTATCTTTTAACAATGTTTATTTAAATTAATGTTTTTCTAAATTCAGGAGTATACTAGAGTAAATCAATTATTAAAAAATAAAATGTGAAAAAAATTGTAAATAAATAAAATACTTTGCAATATTAATCTGATTTAGTAAATAATTCCATCGTTTTCACTAAACCTTAATTTGAGTTTTGTCTTAAAGAATTTAATAGCGGTAATAAAAATGGGACAAATTTCGATAATTTCATAAACTTTGGCAACCACTACATATTATTTTGCAAAGAATATCTGTATGAGAACTATCCCCCGCTAGAAGTCTAAGAAAGTGTTATTTTTAAAAATTTATTTCCTGCATGCAGAGACATAAATTTACTCTATCATTTAAGGTTTTCTGAGATCACCCCCTTACAAAAAATAAGATGTTTTTGATGGTATTGTGAGGAGGACAAATGTAAAAAACTGCAATTAAGGTTAAAATTGAGGTTATATTTTACACCAAAAATAACATCAATTTCAACCTTATTTACTCCTTACAAAATCAACCTCGTATATAACTCAGAAATAATTTTAACTTAGATTGGGTTAAATTATTCACACCTTAAATATACGTATTTGCTTGAAGTGTTGAAAAAATAAAACGTATACCTCAAAAACAACCTCCCTAAGCAGGTTGCTCTAAAGTAGATTTCCATCTACCTCAAAACAACCTCAAGTGTGAATAAAACAACTTCATACACTTTGATTATTCACCTTGGGAGGTTGATTTTTTAATGTTGTATTTGAAATCAAATTCGAATAAACTTCAAATCATCCTAGACACCTCAAAATAACCCTCAAAAGTACCTTAAATTTTTGTTTGGACAAGTGTCCACACTAGCCCTGGGAAATCATTTGTTTGTGAAAGCTTATCGTCAGTTAATTATAATGGCTTATTTAATTATAACAGATAATGTCAGTTGATAATAACAGCTAATTAAAATTAAATACGGCTTTTATAAATGTGATTATTTTTTTCTAAAGTGGAACAAAATGTGGTAGCATATGTATTTGATTAGTACGCTTTTTTTGTAAGAGCGAAATACTACCATACTTTTCACTAACATAACGTAATAATAATATATATCTTCAGGTTTCGGTTTGAAGTAAACTCACAGTACATTTTCAAAGTTAAAATGATAAGTAATAGAGAGAAATATACGCGTAAAGTATACCAGAATGGCCAGAGTCTGGGAAAAATCAAAAATTCTTGACAAATATTTCCTGAGGCACTTCAAAGTTTCAAAAGTTTTGATTTCAGTGTAATTTCAAATATTTTGTTGGTTTATTCTAACAAAACGACACTCTGGCCACCTTTTTACACACAAATATGTATTTCCATTTTTATCGCATAGGTGTTTTTCATATTTCGATTCATTTTTGTGACTGGGCAAAAATTACGCTTTTGGCGAAAGATTTTCTGAAATACTTAAGGTAGTAGTAACATTTCAAAATTTGAATTTAAAAGATTTTGAATACCTAGATTTATAAATAATTCAAATAACACAAAAAAAAGATACGAATCCTGAATAAATGATAATTAAATCTTGTCAATTAATCAAAACTAATATATAGCTTAATCTACGCCTCCAACATTTGAAAGCCTCAACACAGTTTTTTATCGGTAGTCCAATCAGACCACTATGAAAGTAAACCAGTATACGAAAGAACTCTTTAATTGAAAATCTGGTAGAAATAAGAAAGTGGTAGCAAATATATGTCTAAAAATTTGTTTAATTTATGAATATGATTAGTTTGCCTTATTTACTTGTCTACCACTACAGATTCAATTCTCAAATATATATAATAAATTTCTGTCAGTCACTTTTAAAATAGAATTTGGTTTGAAGCGCACAACAGGTTCACTTTTTAAATAGTCTGCGCATACTACCATTTCACTACTCCGTAGGTAAGTGGGACAATCGATGAAAATGTTAAGTTGAAACAGACTTTTTAACTAAATGTATTACATGCAAGTTACTTTTTACTTCGAATTGAGCATAGGGATTTTATCATAGCTTTCCATTTCACATTATTTGTGGTCAGATATTTTGCCTCTCTCCATGTCTTTTCTATTGCTTTCAATTCGTTTACAATCGTCCTGCGCCAAGTAATTTCAGGTCTTCCTCTTTTCTATTGCCCTGAGGGTTCCAATCAAAAAATTTTTTTACTTTAAATTCTTCAGGTTTACGTCGAATATGAACAATACATTTTCATTTACCATTTTTAATTTCCAGTACAATCGGTTTCTGTTCTGCTTTTCTAAGGATTTCTGCATTACAAATTTCATGGAACCGCTTGATACGCAACTTTCTTCTTAAGCAGTTCTTAATAAATACTTGATTTTTCCTGTTATTTTAACAGCAATGTTATGTCTCAGATTCATATAGTAGGACAGATTTAACATCAGTATTAGAAATTCTAGTTTTTTGTTGAATTTGTTATTTTCTGTTTTTCCATAATTTATTGAGAGCAGCATAACTGCTTCGGGTTTTGTTTAATCTATTTAGTATATTTTCCCCATTTTCTCCTTTGATATTAATTATACTTTCAAGATACGTAAAACTGCGTACCTCCTCTAGATTATTATTTTCTAAGAATATGTCACTTAATTACTAAATTTTAAAAATGTATTAATTTCCGAAATTTTTGTTTCGTTTTAGTAATTGTTGTTGTTGCATTACACGCTCACGCCGGGGTGACCCACCGGTGGGTCACGCTAGATTGTCTCATCTTGGCAGAGCACCGGAGTTAAAACTGGTAACAATAAATTTCATTATTTAGTTTTTTTCCGGGAATAATAAAAATCGATAACTACCAATTGTTTTTAACGGATGCAATTTTTATATTGAATTGCTTCTTCGCCGTGATTACCGTGAATTATTATTGTTGAGAACAGATTAACTTCTCCCGAATATTATCTAATATTGAAATAGTTCTTCTACCAGTATTTTCACTTTTCCCGGCGTGAACGTGTTAATCTCAAATATGGAATATCAGAAAGTGCAAAAAATTTGAAGTATTGTCCACAGCGACAATAGTCAATTGTCCTTTGATTTACGAAATTATCAGTTGCTGAGACCCATTTGTTATTCGAATTTTATCGCAATCCTTATTTATACATCACTCTAATCATAAAGGAGATAATATTGTCCTCGCTGTGACATTGAGAGAAGGTGTGAGTGACATTTTATCTATGAAATTGCATTGTGGAAGTGTTTACACTAAAAGATACTTAGTTGATTCGTGACTCTGATAACTTAAACTTTCACCCTTATTTGACGAGAAGTAAAATAGAAAAAAAGTGATTTTTTGAATAGGAAATTATAAATGTTATTTTTATGTCAAATTAAACGTAAAAAACACAGATAAAACATGGAAAATAATAAAGATTAATGAAATAAATATTTTTAAAAGATATTTTAAAAAATTATTTAACAAAAAAATTAAATATTGGGAAAACAAACAACGAAAAGGGATTATCTCTTCATCAGCTCGCACGATTATATCTGTAAAAAGGAGAGCTTTCTAATATTGTATCAATATATCCAAAGCAAAATATATCAATACAACAGTGTGAGGAGCACTCAAGGAATAGAACACATTAAGTAAAAAATATGTACGAAATAAAACATATCAAGCAAAAAGCAGAAAATACAGAATAAAACACGAATCGAAATCGACAAAGCAAGTAAAGAATTCAAATAACCGAACCGTACCGTCAATCAACACGTACCGGGATTTTTAAGAATGATTTAAAATATTTTCGTTGCAATATTTCCAGATTGCAAATATGAATATAAAACAGAGTTAGAAGCTTAAATAGAGGGATCTTTCATGTCGCGTTCTTACTGCAGTTCTGAAGCGAGTTTGATTTCTTAGTTACCTTGGATTAACCTGAAAATGGATGTGCGCAAGGTAATAAATAATATTTTACTGAATAATTTAAAGCTTATAATTAATAAGGTTAATATTTAACTATACAATTCAATGATTTTTAGAAAATTAATACTAATTAACATTAATTAACTTCACTATTGAGTCATGCGTCACTAATAATGCTCGAGAAATGATCTTAACTGATATATTGAATTGAATGTTTATAGTTTGCATCCAGAATACGGATATACAGCACCAAATAGAATCATTATTTTGTACTAATTTTCAAATTCATGCGTCACTAATAATGTTCGAGAAATGATCTTAACTGATATATTTAATTGAATGTTTATAGTTTGCATCCAGAATACGGATATACAGCACCAAATAGAATCATTATTTTGTACTAATTTTCAAGAAATTAAATGCTTTAACAAATTTAAGTCAAGTGTAAAAAATATAAATAAATAAAAAAATAAAATAATAAAAATGTTGAGAAAAGATGACTTCGGGGCCCTGGGACCTGTATTTTGCTGAGAAAGCGGAGGGAAGTGATTCAGCAAGCGGAGGGAAGTGATTCAAAAGTGAAAAGATGCTAGATTAAAGCATGATATTGGTGTCGTAGACCATTAAGGCAAGGGGTGCGATTGTACTTGTTCTCCAGCTGCACCATAAATGACCAAGAATTCAACTTCTGGCACACCCATACGTCACAACCGCTTATAGGATGGACATATTTATACATCCCTTCATTCAGACACAGATCGTAATTTTGACCTGAATCAACGAACGATTACTGTTCAATTCAGTGCTCCCAGATGTATAATTTGGAAAATGGGGGACTTTATGACCCAACAGATTTAACGTGCACCAGTCACCACTTGCTATACTTCTTTGTCTTCTTTGGCCGGTTGGATTCGAACTCACTCCCATTCTCATGAACATGAGTCCAGCGCCCTGCCAGCCATTAAAACTTGATAAATAAGTTGTATACTATTTCTTTTCACTCGAGTTTCAATTATAAATGAATGAAATCAAAAAATTAAAAATTATTTTTTAAAACAGCTCAAAGCAATTTATTTATTTTCATAGAAAATCTTTAGTTTGAGAGTGGATTTTTACCTCTTTGTTTCAAGAAGTTATTTCGGCAAAAAAAATTTTTTTTTCCGTTACATAGTTCTTTCTGGAATGTATATATAAAAAAAACAATTTCATCCACTGACCTTCAAATTTCTAGAGATAAAACTGAGATAAATAAAAAATATCCATCTACATTGCTTTTGTAGATCACAAGAAAAGTAAATATTATCTGAGAAACAGCTTTCAAGAAAGTTTGATACTATAGATAAGTCATTTTGACTCGTTAACTTATATAAAAGGTTTTTATCATTTGAACTCGCGGTAATACCGTTCTGTCTCTAATCAAAACGTTCGAAAAATTATTCAATTTTTAATTCAGCATGGGCAAGCCAATTTTAGCTTATTGGGATTTAAGAGGTCTTGCTGAACCTATTAGGTATTTGCTTCATTACAAAAATGTACAATTTGAAGACAAACGGTACCAGAGAGATGGTACTTGGGAAAAAGAAAAGTTTACTTTCGACTTGGACTTTCCAAATTTACCATACTATATGGATGATAAAGTGAAGTTAACTCAAAGTACCACTATTTTAAGGTACTTGGCAAAAAAATTTGATTTGGAGGGCAAAAGTGAAGAAGAACGATTGCGCGTTTCATTAGCTGAACAACAGATCCTCGATTTTCGCCTTGCTTTCTTTATGACGATTGCTTCTCCTGATTTTGAAAAGAAGAAGGAAGAATATTTGAAAAAAGTACCGGATTCCTTAAAATTGATTTCAAATTTCCTTGGAAATCGAAAGTTTCTGGCTGGGGACAATGTGACGTATGTTGATTTCATGGCTTATGACGTATTTGAATTCAATGTTTTCCTTTCAAAGACTATATTGGATGGTTTCCCTATATTGAAAGCCTATCAAGAGCGCATTCGAAACTTGCCTGAATTAAAATCGTATTTTAGTTCCATTACTTACAAAAAATGGCCGATTGTTGGACCAAGAGCTGTTTGGGGCCATAGTGGAGAAATGCCTCAATGAACTTGGAAAAGATTTTATAAACAAGAACATTTTATGATTTTCTCATATAACTGCAACATTATTTCTATATTTTTAATTTAGTTTTCAATTGATTTTCTTGATTGTGCATCAAATAAAAGTATCAGAAAAAAAGACAGCGTCTTCTACTCAATACAAATGAAAAATATTCTTCTTTCTAGTTTACTTTAAGATTGATGGAAAGATATTTGAGAAATAAAAACCAGGTAAGTGATAACTATTACATGTAAAATTTGTCTTAATCTATTTGAACTTAGCATCTTTTTAAAAGGATGTTTTTTCCCAAAAAAGAAAAAAAAAGTGATAGCATATATCATAATGTATCTATAATAAAAATTATTTATATTTGGATCTGAATTTAAAGCATAGAACTTTTTTAAATATAAAGTAGAAGGGGGACAGACAGAAATATTAATTTGGTCTAAGCAACTGCGTGGTCAAAGCAGGTCAAAATGTAAATTTCCCGGTGGTGACTATCTTGAATGTATATGTATTACCACTTCTTTCGTATAGGTGTTTTTACTATATTAATCATAGTAGATCATACTTTTTTTTTCTCATTTTTTGCACTTTAATTTTTCCCGATTGTGGCAAAATTAAATAAATATGTATTACCACTTCTTTCGTACAGGTGTTTTTACTATGTTAATCTTCAGTTATGTTATTCTCCTTTTCCCGGTAGTGACTATCTCGAATGAATATGCATTACCACTTCTTTCGTATAGGTGTTTTGACTATATTAATCATAGTATGATACACTCTTTTTCATATTTTTTTTAATTTTATTTAATTTTTCCCTATTGTTTCAATGTTAAATGAATATGTATTACCACTTCTTTCGTATAGATGTTTTTACTATATTAATCATAGTATGTTATTCTCTTTTTTTCTTCATGTTGTGACATCCTTGGATGAATATGCATTACCACTTCTTTCGTATCAGTGTTTCTACTATATTGATCATAGTATGTTTATTCTCCTTTTTTTTCCCCCGGCTGTGACTATCTTGAATGAATATGTATTACCACTTCTTTCGTATAGGTATTTTTACTATATTAATCATAGTATGTTACACTCCTTTTCTTATTTTTTTTAAAAATTTTATTTCATTTTTCCCGATTGTGGCAAAATTGAATGAATATGTATTACCACTTCTTTCCTATAGATTTTTTTACTATGTTAATTATAGTATGTTATTCTCTTTTTCTCAGTTGTGACTATCTTGAATGAATATGTATTACCACTTCCTTCGTATAGGTGTTTTTATTAAATTAATCATAGTATGTTATTCTATTTTTTCTTCTTCCTGTTGTGACATCCTTGGCTGAATATGTATTACCACTTCTTTTGTATCAGTTAAGGCTCCTATACTATCAGAGCTGACCTATCAAGCAATATGGGAGCAGACAAGCTCGCAAGTTAACGTTATGTTAGTTATTACAGAAATGCCAACTGCTCCGGACGCGCCAAAATAATTTATAAAACGGTAAATAACTACAAAGTAAATTTTGCAAATAGTTGACAATATTTGCTTGCTTTTAAAAATGTAAAGCATGTAATAAGTACTAGGAAGTGGTGAATTATATTAGCTTACGCATTGTTTAGAAATAGTGGTGTATTAAAATCTACTAAATCGAACTTATCTTATTAAACCAAGAATTACAATTAATAAACTACCACTTGAAAATATTTATTCGCTGTGCCTATGTTAGCTCTTTGCTCCAACAATAAATGATAAGTCGGCCTGTCTAATTCAGGGGCTCTACGTATTACCACTTCTTTCCTATCTGCGTTTTACTATATTCATAGTGTGTTACTATCTTTTTTTTTCTTCAAAAAATTTCCTGGTTGTGTGTGTTTCCTGAATATTCATTTCCTGGTCCTTGAATGAATATGTATTACCACTTCAACGTATATGTGTTTTTACTATATTGATCATAGTCAGTTATTCCTTTTTTTTCTCCGGGTCGTGACAACCTTGAAGGAATATTTACTACCACTTTTTTCCAACAGGTGTTTTTTTTTTCTCAAAAAATTTTCCTGGTTGTGACTATCTTGAAAGAATATGTATTACCACTTCAATCGTATAGGTGTTTTCACTATATTGATTATAGTCTGTTATTCCTTTTTTTTTCTCCGTGTTGTAACAACCTTGAAGGAATATATACTACCACTATTTTCCTATAGGTGTTTTTACAATAATATTGATCAAAAAGTAAATTATTCTCTTAATAACTGGCCGCCAGAAATTGCTTAGATGAAGAAAAAAGCATCTATGTAGATAAAAAGTGGTACCACTTATTTCATTTTCAGAGACGTCAACTGCTCCGGATTCGACAAAATAATTTAACTGTACAGATCTACAAATTAAAATGAGTAGAATATTGGGCAATATTAAGTATTCGAAAAAATATTCTTAAATATTCAAGAAAATTACATTTAATGATCATTGTGCTTTTAAATTACAGAATAAGAATTCGATCATTATAAATAGATTAATCTTACATAATTAAGAAAATAGTTGGTAATATGGGAAAATTAAAATAATTCTTATCAAGCAGTAAAAACCAATTTTTTTTGTTAAAAATCAGGTAATTTACAATTAATTTGCTTGATTTTAGGAAATGATTACCATCAAATTTATAATATGCTTAAACATTTTAGAAAATTAAATTCATACGTTCACTGTGATTTTAAATTGCTGAATAAGAATTATAATAGACATTGGAATATTATAAATATATTAATGATGACTATTTACGACTATTTAAAGAGAGAAGTAGTTGCCAATATGAGAAAATTAAAGTAATTCTTATCAAATACTAGTAACCATTTATTTCAGTTTTAATTCCGTTATTTTATAAGTAAATCTTTTGATTTTAGGAAATGATAATAATTGAATTTATAATATGCTTAAATATTTGATAAAATGAAACATTCACTGAGATTTTAAATTATAGAATATGAATTAGAATATTAAAAATAAATTAATGATGACTATGTATGATTATTTAAAGAGAAAAATAGTTGTTAGATAAAATGATCTCTGAAGCTATAATTTTACAACCAGGAAGTGTAGTTTTTGAGAACTGAACTTTCATGTCATGTGACTCTCATCGCATTGTATCTTTTCAAGGTCTAAATGTTAATTGAATATAATGTTATATTTTATGTTTTATTATTCTTCGTTTTTCAGATTTCACTTTCTCTTTGTGTATCTTCAACAGAGGGAGAAGTCTTTTCCTTCCTCACTGCTTGTAAAAATGTTTTGTCGAAATGCGTCATTAAATTTCTATATTGCTTAAAAAGATGCGTCTTCAATTATGCTAGTTTAACTCATTTACAAATTAATCAATTTCATAGAACTTATTTTCAGCCATTCATCGTACTCATCGCCTTTACAAAGTAAGATTTACTACCTTTTTCCTATTAGTAGTTACTATTAAGAGAAGAATAAAATAATTCTTATCAAATACTAGTAACCATTTTTTTTTTCATTTAAGGGAACTGCTCTGATTTTTAACAACAGAACTCTATCTTGTTTTTTAAATCCTGAATCTTATCATTCAGATTGCACATGATTTAAGTCATTGCATTTTATCAATGATAATAAACTGATAATAAAACTCCGAACTTACGAAGGTATAAAAATTGCTTTCTCATTTTAAAAGTCTTCATATTTTTATCAGCACTTGATTCATACGTTCTTTTGTTTCGAATATGGCAAAACCAGTTTTAGGTTATTTGGACTTTCGAGTTCTTGCCGAACCAATTAGGTACTTACTTTATTATAAAAATGTACAGTTTGAGGATAAAAGGTACCAAAGAGATGGTACTTGGGACAAAGAAAAATCTACATTTGGCTTTGATTTTCCCAGCTTGCCTTACTATATCGATGGTAAAGTGAAGTTAACGCAAAGTATTACTATTTTGAGGTACTTGGCAAAAAAATTTGATTTGGAAGGTACATGCGAAATGGAACGAGTGAGAGTTGCATTGGCAGAACAACAGATTTGGGATTTCTACATGGCTTTTGTTCATGCTGTGGTAAAACCAGGAACTGAAAAAAGGGAAGAGTACTTAAAAAAAGTACCTGATTCATTTAAACTATTAGAAGCTTTCATCGGAAGTCACAAATACATGGTTGGTGATAATTTAACATATGTTGACTTCATGGGTTATGAGTTACTTGACTTTAATATCTTGCTATCAAGAGATATTTTAGACGGATTTCCAATTTTAAAAGCCTATCATGAGCGCATCAGAAATCTTCCTGAACTACAAGACTATTTCAATTCTTCTACTTACAAAAAATGGCCGATTTTCAAACCTCCAGCTGCTTGGGGAAGTAGCGGTGAAATGCCACAATGATTGCTTGAAATGTAAACTTTTCTTATTCAATAACTTTTTAAAAAAAATTTTCAATAAGGATGGACATTAAAAAGAGTGATTTTCAAGTTTTTCAAACGGAATTTTGTTGTAGTTGTATGAATATCAATAAATTATTACAGTTAATGTGTTTGGGCAAGTCTTATTTTTGATATTTGATAGGAAGCAGGAAATTGTTCTTAAAATAATAATTCCAAGTAAGAGAATCTGCTTAATACAGAATGCTTAGAAGATATTTAAATTGAAGTCTAAATGTGGTATGCGAAGCAAGTATTGGTTGAAATTGGTATGTATTTCTTATAGCAATTAAGCAAACTAAAAAACGACTTTTTAACTCATTTTTAGGGAGTTTTATTATTTATATTAAAATAGCAAATTATAATTCTCATTACGTGGATTTAATTTTAATTTCTAGGAGTTACAGAATATTTTTAATTAAGATTTATTTTAACCTTTCCGGCAGAAAATGAACAAGAGACATATTTGTTGTTTATTTACACACAACACAACCAGCGTAAACACAAATCTGCAAACAATAAACATGTTTCTGAAAAATATGTTTATTGTTTCAACCCTTTCTAAGGCTGTGGGAAGTACACTTCCCACCACTTTTAATTTAGGTTTCCATTTGTTAATAACTTCAGATTTCTTGAAGTGCGTTTGAATAAAATTGGTAGCCATTTGTTAGTTTGCAAAAAAGTATTAAAATACATAATTCTTTGTAAAGTTTGTAGCATTTATAAAATTTATTTTGTAAATAAAGAAAAATAAAAGTCAATAAGTTTCCTAATAGTTCATGTTAAATATATTAACCTCCAGAAAAATGGCATTTTTATAAACTAATTGAGTTTTTTTTCTAATATCAATTACTATTCTTAAAACTATTTCAATTCCAAAAATACTTTAATTTACCTTTACTAGAAATAAATGGCCCTTTAAAGGGTTAAATGAAATTTAGAAATACAAAAATGTAAAAGATATTTAATGACCTTTAACATGGTGAGTACCACTTAGCTACTTTTTACCATTCCACTACTACCACTTTGCTACTTTTTACCACCTTAAATATAAAAGGGAAATACTTCGGAAAATTCGTAAAGCCCTAGACAAACTGTGTTCTCTGAACCAATGAAGCCCGGCTATACCGGGGGGAGGCGAGAGAGTGCACAGGGAGTCTTCCCCCTTTTGTAAATTTGTAAATAGTGTAAATATTCTTTCTTTATCTTCAATTTGTTCCCTTTATTATGTATCAACTTGAGATTCATTTTTATGTATGACTCAGACTTGATTTTATCAATTATTGTTCATTCTGAGATATAACTTAATGTTAACGCAGTACCTCCCTTCCCTTCCACCTCATATTATTCAATTTAGATGAAAGAGCAGATATCCATACATGGATAGGTTAGTAAAATTCGTAAAGGTAGACAGTTAAAGACAATACTTAAGGAAGTAGTGTGTAAGAAATAAATAGTTTTTGATTTCAAATAATATTACATAAATTTTAAAAATAAAAAAAAGGCTTTTTTAGTTGTCATTAAGTTGTTTTTATAAAATAAAACAAGTTATTTAATTTAAACATTTATTACCGATATTACTTATCTCCATGCGATCATTTTGCACAACGCACTTAAAATGTTAATTGCACACGTAAAAATATATTGTGATCAGCTCATATATACTAAGTGAATAAATTCGTAATGGCCATTAACATGATGAGCATAAAAGACAGGTTTCCGAAGCAGAACGCAGAAAACCCTGCTTTCTCCATCCTCTAATTTTTCAAATCGTCAGTCATTTCTGTTAAGCATTCTGAGCATGAAGTCCTATTTTTTTTTTTAAATCCTTACATTACAAAATGTTGGATCTTCACAGCAGGGAATGAATTAATCATAAAAAAATTATTCCTACTTTTTTTTTTTAAATATTTATATTGATTGTATTAATATCGTTTACAATTTCCGCCACAAACATAAAAGAAATGTAGACCCGTGTAATTTATCAGCTATAGGAATAACATATATTTGGATATAGGAATAACATATATCAGCTATAGGAATAAACTTACAATTTGGAAAATTTTCGAAAAGAAATATATAATTTATTGGTAGCAAAAGCATCTGTTTTTTGTTATATCTGTGACTACTGTTACTTATTAACACATTGCTGACCGGCAACTTTTCTGAAAATTACCCCATGTGTCCAGCTATTGTTTTGAAAGCGGGTGTGGAAGTAAAACATTATAAATAAATTTTAAAAATTTTTAATTTTTATTGCCGTATGATAAAAAGTTAACGATCACCTATGTGCAATAGTACACCACATGTTTTACAAATATATCGGGTTTCGTGAAGTTATAATAAATTGGTATAGAATTAAATAGTAAAACTTGAAAAGTACGGAAAATTACGCCCACTTTTTAAAATAGTCACCACGAGATCACTGCTAACGAAAGCACGAGTTAACTCGTGACCGGTCACCAACGTCTGGCCACGAAAACGCGAGTTAACTCGTGACCTGTCAGCAATGTGTTAAGAGATGAACTAAATCTATCAGGGTTCCTACTACCTTCAAAAAATAAATGATTATAACTAAGATTTTTCAAGATAACTGAAAAATGTTTAAATTTATCTTTCATTTGTGAATTATGAAATTATTCCCGAGTTATTGTTTGCACCCATATATATTACATTTCAATTAAATATTTATTGATGGCTTAAAACATTTAGATATATCTCACATTCGCTACTACTTTGAAAAAGTATTCCACACCGTGGGAAACCTGATTTATTCACTGGGAAAGTTTACATAATATGTGTAAATTATAAGTCTTAATAAATAATGGTAATTACGAATACTTAACACAGTGATGACCGGTCACGAGTTAATTCGTGTTTTCGTGGCCTAGCGTTGATTACCGATCACGAGTCATAGCAATCATGTTAGCAATGATCTCGTGGTGACTATTTTAAAAAGTGGGAGTAATTTTCCTTACTTTTCAAGTTTTTCTATTTAATTCTCTACCAATATATTATAACTTTACGAAACCCGATATATTTACAAAACTTGTGTACCATTACACGTAGGTGATTGTTATACTTTTTATCATACGAAAAAGAAATATTAATAGTTGAATAATAAATAAAATTTTTTAAAGTTTATTTGTATTGTTTTACTTCCACATCCGCTTTCAAAAACAATAGCCGGGCATATGGGGAAATTTTCAGAAAAGTTGCCGGTCCGCTATGTGTTAATTCTGGGATGCTAATTTTCAAAGACGAAATGGTTGTGGAAGAAAAAATCATTTTAACTTTTTTTTTTTTTTGAAGAAGTAAATTGTTCTTCGGTGCCACTATTTATTAACAGCGCTTCTGGTACTTATCAGGAAAAGATGAAAAATCAGTAATAAGAAAAAAAAGTTAACATCAGCAACATAGTACCAACAGTAACAAATGTGAAATCACAATATAATCTTTAATTAATAATAAATTGTGGTAGTTTCAATGTGTCCATTTTTCAGGTAGGAAATTTTAAAAAAATGAATTTTTACTACCAGTTTATACTTTTTTCTGGATAAGTAAAAGACATAACTCAAGGAAGCTTTTTTTCTACCGGAGATACGGGCAGTAGAATCAAGTCGCTGTTTACAAGCATAAAGTTTTTATTTTTTGGTTTAACAAGTTTTCAATGTGTAATTTTTGAACATCATGTGTAAGGATATAGCATATCTATTGTTGCGTGCAAGTTATTAAATGCATCTGTTAATTGTTGAACTACTTATTCTGTTAAGTTCTACTTGTTCCTTTGGTAGTTAACTATTGTTTGGGAATAACGCTTTGCTTAAAATGTGACGCACTTGCCTAAATTGTACATCTTGTGGGCTCCTAAATCATACTGGTGCGATTTAGGTACGATAGGTACGATTTAGGACTCATCTACCATATAAGTTCATTATCTTTTAGTATTAATTTAATTTATTTACACAGTTTGGTTAGCAATAAGAAAATCCCACTATTTGAACACGATTGAAATTCATTAACCCCTTGGGGACGGGTGATTCAGAAATGCATTCGTACAAAATCAGAATCAAGCTGTAATTAAATAAAAAACGGTAACTTAAATGTAGTCGTTGCTGATTTGACAGACTTACTTTGCTTTTACTTTAATTATTGTTAGTTTAATCATACATAAAATCAATGTTAATTCAAAGTATTACTAAATAGTTTTATTTTGAACAAAGTAATGGTGAATTAAATAAATCAAACAATTATAACTCAGCCCACAAATAAACTGCTAAAGAAATACTTTGATTACCAGTTTTATATTTTTACCCTGATTGATACGGTTTTATGCTGTCACATATTTGTGACAGTCGGCGCGAAAGGGTTAAATCAAATGCCACTTTTGATTACTCATTAAAAAAATGCAAGTTCGCCAACCTCACCTGCTCCAGCATAATACAAATTCTAATTCTTTTGGATGGTCATTTGACTGATCCAAATAGTCTAGACATTTGGACAAGAATGCTGTATTATTGACGTTACACCAGGATACACGGCACATCTACTCCAACTGTTGGGCAGGTTATTTTCCAAGCCCCTTAATCTATACTCTAATGTCCCACAGTGGACTGATCGTAAAGACATGGCTTCCAGTAGAACACCGAAGTCAGGCTTCACTGGCTGTGGTCAGGAAGCTGGTGGGTGAGCACTTTGATCAGCCTGCGAAGGGACCAAGTGTGCGCTGTATCGGTCGTCGTGAAACTGTTCTATCGTAAAGTACTTGACTTCGTGCTCAAGCAACGCCTCCTATAACTGAAAGCCTCCACACGGTATTTTATAGGTAGTCCGATCAGACCACTACGAAGGTAAACCAGTTTACNATGATTTAAATATGCAAGACTACCAAGATTTTTTTTAGTAGTTATGACAGAGCCGTGATGGCTCAGAGGTATAGGTAGTTTTTATAGTTAGTCCGATCAGACCATTATGAAGGTAATCCAGTTTACGAAAAAGTCATTAATAGAAAATCTATTAATAATTAGAAAGTGGTAGCAAATATATGCCTAAAAATTTGATTAATTTATAAATAGGACAGGTTTGTCTTATTTGCTTGTCAATCACTAC